AAATTTTATGAAGAAAAGAAGAGGTTTGGATACTTTTGCATCATCTGGTCATCGCACTCCCAGGTGAACTCTGATCCTCTTTTTGTGCACCACCAAACCTTCACAATGGGAATGCACCTTTGTTTCGTTCTGTTCACTTCCCTATCCATTATCTCCGTGGGTTCCTCAAGGAAATCAAGGTTTTGATTTTTCTCAATCTCGTCGAGCGGAATAACGAGGGTTTCGTCAGATAGGCATTTCTTCAGGTTTGACGTGTGAAATATAGGGTGTACGTTGCTAAGCTCCGGTGGTAGCCACAACTTGTAAGCCATCAGACCGATGCTGGCAAGGATCTCGAATGGTATGATGTATCATGGATTTAACTTTCCCTGCTTTCGGATCGTATCATCCTTTTCCATGGAGAGACTTTTAGCAGTACGTGATCACCTACTTGAAATTTCAATGGCTTTCGCCTTTTGTTTGCGTAGCCCTTCTATCAGTCCTTGGATGCCTTCATTGGTTCCCTAATCTGCAGAATCTTCTCAGTTTTTTCCTTTATAATTTCAGGACATGTGAGAGTACTGTTGGGTACCATTCCCTTCGCTAATTGTGTGTCTCCTACCTCCGCCCAACAGAGACGTGATCGACATTTTCATCCATAAAAGGCCTCAAAGGGAGCGACCTTTATGCTTGTGTGATAGCTATTGTTGTACGAGAATTCTATTAGTGGCATGTGGACGTCCCACATCTTGCCGGAGTCTAACACATAGGCCCTTATCATATCCTCCAATGTTAGGATGCTCCACTTACTATGCCCATCTGTTTGGGGATGGTAGGCCGTGCTCATATCGAGCTGGGTCCCCAACGGTCTCTATAACGACTGCCAAAACCAAGAGGTAAACCTACTATCTTTATCTGATATAATAGATATTGGCACGCCATGTAATCTCACAACCTCCTTTATGTAGATCCGGGTCAGCCTTTCCATTTTATACGTTTCCTTTATTGGTAGGAATTGGGCGGATTTGGTCAATCAATCAACAATCACCGAGATGACATCCAATCTGTCTTTCGTATTGGATAGTTTGGTTATGAACTCCATCGCTATCCTCTCCAATTTCAACTCGGGTATTTCGATTGTTGCAGTAGACCCAATGGCTTTTGATATTGTACCTTCACTTTACTGCAAGTCAAGAACTTGCTCACATTGGTAGCAATTTTAGCCTTCATATTCGGCCACTAATAATGTTTTTTGAGATCCAGGTACATCTTGTCAGAACCCAGATGGACGGAGTATTTTGACTTGTGGGCTTCATTCATGACCACGTCTCTGAATCCACCAAACTTTGGTGTCCAGATTTAGTCCAGGAGGTACTAGGCTTGGTTATCCTTGATTGTAAGGTTATTGTCCATCCTGCGCAAAGCCTCGTTTGAGACGTTTACTAGTTTCAAGGATTCCAACTGAGCCTCCTTGATTTGTGAAGCCAAGTGGGAATGAATGGTCACCGTTAGTGTTCTTACTCGGTGACCCGAGTGTTGTTTTCTGCTTAGGGCATCGGCCACCGCATTGCCCTTTCCTGGATGATACTAGATCTCACATTCATAGTCACTCAACAACTCAACCCATTGGCGTTGCCTCATGTTTAGTTCCTTCTGGTTCAGGATATGCTGGAGGCTTTTGTGGTATGTAAAGATGGTGCACTTCGTCCTGTAGAGCTAGTGCCTCCAAATATTTAGAGCGAAGACCACATATCGCAGCTCGAGATCGTGAGTAGTATAGTTTATTTCATGGGTCTTCAGTTGTCTGGATGCATACGCAATAACTTTCCTGCGCTGCATAAGCACACAACCTAACCCTTGATTTGAAGCGTCGCAATACACCACGAAATATTCCGTTCCCTCAGGAAGAGAAAACACCAGAGCACTGCAGAGGGCTTGCTTAAGGGTTTCGAAGTGAACCTCTTGTTTCTTTTCCTATGTGAAATTTACACCCTTCTGTGTTAGAGCGGCGAGTGGGCTTGGCGATCTTGGAGAAATTCTAAATAAACCTCCTGTAATAACCAACAAGGCCCAAGAATTGACTAATCTCCGTTGGAGTTCTTAGGGTTGCCCACCCCTCAATTGCTTTGATCTTGGTCGTCCATGTATATTCCCTACTTACTAAACACGTGTCCCAGAAAATCCATTTTACGGATCCAAAACTCGCACTTAGAGAATTTTGCGTGTAGCTTTTCCACCCTTAGAGTCTCAAAGACTTGCCGCGAAGGTTGGCTGTGTTCTTCTTTACTTCAAGAGTAAACTAGTATGTTGTCGATAAAGACTATCATGAAGCTATCAAGATAGGGTCGGCAGACTTGGTTCATCAGGTCCATAAATGTAGCGGGTGCGTTCGTAGACCGAAGGGCGTTACCACAAATTCATAGTGGCCATAACGGGTCCAGAATGCGCTTTTAGGAATGTCTTCCTCTCAGAATCATAGTTGGTGATATCCGAACCTTAGATCTATCTTTGAGAAGTAACTGGCTCCTTGAAATTGGTCAAATAAGTCATCAATCTGTGGAAGAGGGTATCGATTCTTGACGGTGAGCTTGTTAAGTTCATTGTAATCGATACAAATGCGAAAAGAAGCATCTTTCTTTTTGAAAAACAAAACTGGAGCTCCCCATGGAGGGAAGCTCGGTCTTTTGATCCCTTTTTCTAATAACTCGCTCAAATGGCTGGAGAGCTCTTGTATTTCTACAGGGGATAATCTATAAGGTGATTTGGAAATTTGAATGGCTCCGGGTACAAGGTAAATCTAGAATTCGACCTGCCATTCAGGGGGTATCACAGGGTGTTCTTCAGGGAACACGTGTAGAAAATCGCACACCTCTGGGATGTCTTTAATGCTCTTCTCTTCCTTCTTTTTATCCACTACGTGGGCTATAAAGGCTTGGTTCTTTTGTGCAAGCACTTTTGTGCCTTGATTCATGAGATGAGATGGAGGTTTGCACTGGGTTTATCAGCATAGATAATTAGGGTATTGTCGCTGGGTAGGTGAAGGCGAAAGACCTTCTCACAACACATAATATCGAAATGGTGGAGGCTTAACCAATGCATACCGGTGATCACATCAAATCTTTTAATAGTAAGCGACATTAAGTTGATTTGAAATGAGTGTTTATTTAATGTTAACGTGCACCATAGAAATACGTCGTAGGTTGTTTTAGTTTTCCCATTAGCCATTTCCACCGTGATGGTTTCGTTTAACTTTTAGGAGTGTTTAAATTTATGACTGACGAAAATTCGTTCCGCCCCACTATCAAATAAGGTGCATGCATAAATGTTGTTGAGGAGGAATCTACCAGTGACTATTGCTGGATCCTGAACAACCTCCCCTTGTCCCATTGTTAGGACTCTGCTTGATCCCCCTACACTCCGATTGTTGGCCTTGAGACAGTTTCGTTTGTAATGTCCAGTCTCCCCGCACCCGTACCATACTTGACTGGCCCCAACGCTGTTGGGTTGGTTGTTTTGTTGTGGTTGTGTTCTACAATATCAGGCGGTATTCCGTCTTTGGTTATAGTTGATGCACTGCAGGTCTCGGCATATGACGTTATGGTGGAAATTACATTTATCGCATTTGGGAGGGAGCCTGCATGTGGATTTGCAGGTGCTGGTGCAGCTGGTATTGAGGTAGCAGGAGTGGTAGCGGCATGAACTGCTACATTTTCTTTCTTTTTCTCAGACTCTTGGGTTTGTTGTCCTTTTCTCTTCTTTCCCCAGTTTTTCTTGTTATCACCCCCTTCTTTAGTTCAGTGACAGCAGTCTTCGTGCCTTTTGGTTCTGCATGGTTGTAAAGCTTTTGTCCCAGGCGCTTGGCACTATTCAATGTTGTTGGGTTCGCGACTATCGCATTTCCCTGAATGAACCATTCGACTTTCTTACTCTCAGAAGTTATCATTCCCAGGCACAAGAGTGACAGATCGCTGAACCTGGCAATGTAAGCTTCAATATCGGAATCCTTTACATTCAGATTCCATAGCTTTTGTTCAAGCTTCTATACTTCACCCCGAGGGCAGTATTCATCCAGCATCAGGGTTTTGAGGTCTTCACATTCCATGGGGTTTTCTACTGGTAGAGTTAGAGCCTTGACATGGTCCTTCCAACATGCGAAGGCCTTGTCGGAAAACGTCCAAGCTGCCAACTTTACTTCACTTTCTTCTGGAGACACGCATATTTCGAAGACAGATTCGATCTTCTCGAACCATCGAGTGAGAGCTATCACTCCTCCACTCCTGTTAAATGGCCTTGGTTTTCCGTTGGTGAAATCTTTATATGTTCATTTTTCTGATGTCCTTGATTATCACTATGGTTGGAACTCCCCGCCCCATTTCCATTTCCTCCTCCGTTTGCT